TTCAGCTATTTCTGAAGAGTTTGGCATGGGTAGATACTTTTTTTTAAAGATTTATCACTTGTTTTTATTAGAAGAAAAAGATACATATAGGGGAGGGGAAAACGCAAAGAGTTTCTCTTCCGAATGCTTGTCTGAAAGCGCCTTTGAGACATATCCAAATATGGATACAAAACCTTTGTTTTGAGTGGCTTGATACAGACCGGTCCGAATAGTATCTTTCTAAATTGCCGGATCAGAACGAGTTGATGGGGGAGATGGGGGGAGTAAATAAAAAACCACCCCTCCCCCACCTGTTTTCGGTCACAGCAGCGTGCGATAAATTGGGCAAAAAAACGCTATGGATGAACTGTCTTTCCCCATTTGACGAGTCATGAAGGTGTGTAAAAAAACAAGATATATAAAAAAAGAGAAAGAGGAAACATATCATCCAACAAGCGAATTAGATGGATGGATGATATCGATTTTGTCTCTTTTTTTTCTGCCTTGACATTGTCAAGGACATGTACTTATATTTCTTTTTATTTTAGTTGAACATCGCCAACCCAGCCACTGGCTGCCAAAAGTTGATTGAAATCGAAGACGAACGTCGTCTGTAAGTAATTACCTTGACTTGATTCCTTGTTTACTTTTTAAAAAACAGAGATTAAAGCTGGAGGAGGAAAGGAAAAAAACTGGAAGTAGACAACTTAATTATTTCACAACTAAACACCACAACGTATTATAAAAACAACAGTTATCAAATACATAATCCCATTAGACTTCGCCCAACACCACGACATTATTTTCAAAATTCATAACCAACGAGAAATGCAAACAGATTAATCGCGAAACTTGCTTTTTTTTTTTTCTTCTCCAATGGAATCGTGTTTTTAAAAAGCGAATCAAAGGAATCACATGTTTAATTTGCGTATTAATTTGTTTATTTTCTAGTCGTGGTTTCTATGATAAGCGTATGGCCCAAGAGGTCTCTGGTGACTCCCTCGGTGGTGAGTTCAAGGGTTACACTTTCCGTATCTCTGGTGGTAACGATAAGCAAGGTTTCCCCATGAAGCAAGGTGTCCTTTTACCTTACCGTGTCAAGCTTTTGATGTCCAAGGGTCACTCTTGTTATCGTCCCCGTCGTACTGGTGAGCGTAAGAGAAAGTCTGTCCGTGGTTGTATCGTCGGTTCTGACCTCTCTGTCTTATCTCTTGTTGTTGTTAAGCAAGGTGAACAAGACATTCCCGGTCTCACTGATACCACCATCCCTAAGCGTCTTGGTCCCAAGCGTGCTTCCAAGATCAGAAAGTTCTTTGTATGTATATCTAGTAAATAGCATAGCTGATACGATATTAACCGTTAATTATATTTTTAGAACTTAACCAAGGAAGATGATGTCCGTAAGTATGTTATTCGTCGTGAGGTTCAACCTAAGGGTGAAGGCAAGAAGGCTTACACCAAGGCCCCCAAGATCCAACGTCTTGTTACCCCCCTTACCCTCCAACGTAAGAGACACAGACAAGCTCTCAAGCGCAGAAGAGCTGAGGCTTCTCGTGAAGCTGAATCCGAGTACAAGCAATTGCTCGCTAAGCGTGTTAAGGAAACCAAGGAAAAGAAGATCGAACGTCGTCGTACTTCTTCCATGCAAAAGTCTGCTTCCGCTTAAATGTCCCTACTCTAAACATTTTAATTAATAATAATAAAATTATCATTTTGTTTTGGGAACTTCAATATACGTATTATTTATTTAATGTTTTTTAGACATGACCCATTACTACTGTAAACTTTAATGATGGTCCGGAAGAACTACTATTCTTTTGCCGCTCAACATTGCTTAAAGCAGATTTGATTGTTCGAAGATCGTAAGTACTTTGCAAGTATTGCAATTGATTAGAAGTTTGTGGGGTATAAATTAAAGGTGGTGGTGGGGGCTGGGAAGACGAATTATCTATATCATTCTCATCTGGTGGAGGTGCTGTTGTATTACCATCTTCATCGGCGCATAATGTAGTGCTTCGCCAGCCCTGGAAAAAAAGTTAATTTTACAGATGCATATCTCTTTTGTGTTGTTTAGCTTTAATTTACCCAACTCTGTAATACAGAAAAGTTATCAGGACTACTTTGGAATAGAGTTAATGTGTGTTTAGGACCTCTTGATGGACAGTATATTTTAAACCATGTTTTCACTACTTTTCGTTTATCAGAATATCTTGAGAAAGACCAAGAATCTGGTGTACCGGATGAAGGTGTAGGAAGTCTGAAATTCGGGTCAGAGGAAGAGTGTGGCGCATGTTGCTGAACGTCATCTGAACGCCGACAGCTGTGATGAGATTGTTGTTGTGGAACAGATTGTCTGTGAAGGTACACACCCAGTTGTAAAATCCCTTTACGCTGTGATCGAGTTTTTTGTATGTACATGTTCCAGTTTGATCTATGTTAATATTTTAAATGAGATTATAAAAGCATAAAGAAAATTATTATATTTACCCTGCATAGAAAACTGCGTCAGAGTATACACGCATACTATACTTGATGGCATTGACATCAGCAAACTCTACACTAAATCGAAACGGTGGATAAACAGAATATTCTTCTATAAGTGAATTATGGTGCGAAAATTTCTTATTACTATTAGCAACCGATATAGAGGGAGAACCTAAAGAGGCACTAGATTCACCTGAATACGTTGTTGTATCATCTGTTGGTATCAGATAGTATTTCCCTGATAAGTTTTTTTTTACTTCGTCCCCTTCTGCTTCGCAACAGTCGTTATAGCTATTATCTTCGTCTTTTTTCTTATCGGTATTCTCTTTCCTAGTAGCAGCAGCACCTGAGCTACTATTTCTATTAGTAACGGCTGAAACTGTCATATTCAATTGAACATCATTTTCTGAAGCAGATTCAATTTTAGATCGTAACTTCACTTGAAGCCATAGCGCTTCTTTGAGAACTTCTTCAGAAACTAATCGCTGTTTTGTTAGAGGATGCATGTCAGTCTGTATAGATTCGAGCTGTTCAAAAGTCATGTGCATATAATATATAGAATGCGATAAAATATGGCAATTAGGGTTTGTATCTAAGTCTGTTAAGATAAATGAAGATGGAGATATGATATATGCTTCATATCTGGCTTGAATGATTTTTTTTGCGAAACAATATCTTTCGTATTCACTAAATTTCATGATTCAAATTATTTTTTTTTTTAATGAAACCAGTTATTGGAGCGTATTTGCATTTACATTTACCTTGGGACCCAAAAAGCATCACTTTCAATAACCTTTTGTAGCCAATTAATAGGTAAAGAAACTAAAACATCATAATCCATACTATAGGCTTCTCGACATAAAAATGTAAAAATAGCATCACATATACGCTCACTTCCTTGAATCATTAGGCTATCAGCAAATATTAGGTAGCTTATTACATTTTGGTGGTTTAAACTCTTGAGAATATAATTCACACAAATGCCACACACATCAAGTTGAAAATAAGAGCTTGTAGCTAAAATCTGTCGGACATTTGCCTGTGTTATTAATGGATCATCAATTTTACCATAGAGGTATTCTAAGACAAACTGAAATGATTCGGCAGTGATAAAAGGATTATCATCAAAATGCAAAGTGACCTGACACGAGTTTGCTTCTTGAAATCCGCCCTGCAAAAGTAATTTAAAGTACGAATTTTGATCCAGAATTAAACGATGTAAATTATATGTCTTGTCCCAGGTTGGTACATATACCCTGATGTCGCTTCCAATGCCTTCCGAAAGACCTCTCTTTAGGATATGTTTACAAAGCATTAATGAATGCTTTCGCCAGTCATATTTGGAACTGTCGCCTATCTGACCCTGTGAATTAAAATCATTGTAACTTGGATTGTTATTAAACTGAGAACTGCTAGGACTGGAACTATTTGAAGAAGTAGACTTAGTTTCAAAGGGAATACCAAATTCTGAATAAGGTGTGTTTATTGTCAGCCAAGGGTGATCAGTTACTTTTGGAGTTGATTGAGAACGATGGTGATTCTGGGCTGGTTGAGTTGGTGAATTCTCTAAACCTCTGGTAAATAACCTCATGACTTGAATAGAGCCGGTTTGTCCCCTTCTCGTGCTTTCGCGTCTGTTTACAGTAGCATCTTCCATTTATGTTTTGGATAAAAAGAAGAAGAAAAAATTAACTCGAATGCACTCTTTAAGTATTCCCTGTTAATACACGTGACCCATATAATATTGATCATTGCTTATACTATGGAATATTTACTAAAGTGAAAAAACCCTCATTCAGAATAAAGAACAACTCGTTTTTTATAGTCATATTTCATTAAGCGTTATATGTATCGCCCGGGGATTCGATCTTTTACGTAGTATATATTCTATATAATAATTGGATTTTCTTCCCATCTCTGGAAATAGCGTGAACTAGAGAAACATTACTCTTCTTGCTATGAAGACTTGAGTTAATTAAATGGTGTTTGTTGTAAATAGAATGCTAATAGCACCATTCAGCTGATGGTTTCTAAAAAGAGAGTGATTAAACCAAAACTGGCAATAACTGGAGTGCATTTTACAAAATATTACCCACTGAATTACACACAAATTTAATTCATAAAACCCTTAGGTTGTTATAGTGATTATACAGAAAATTTTCAGTACATCTGTTTTATTAAAAGGTTCGATGATATATATACTCATATTTCCAAATGGTCCTATTTGCGTTCTTCCTTTTTACTTTAAAAATAGTGGTAATTAGGTTTTGAATGCTTTGAAAGAAAAATATCTTTATTTTGATACATATACGATGCTCTGCTTTATTGCCATTCAATAAAAAAGGAATATCCTTGCTATGTCTCATCTTATAACTTATGTAAGAGTGGTACTTTTTTTATAACAGACAATCAAGTGAATACAAGGCAGCAGTATGAGCACCACTCTTAAGATTCTCCAAAAAACAAATCATTTTGAACATACATAATACCTAGCAAAACTTTGTGTAACAATAGCAATCAACGCAGCAAAAATATATTAGTATCTGTGGGGTTTGAACCCACGCCCTCTATCGAGGAGGGGATCTTAAGTCCACCGCCTTAGACCACTCGGCCAAGATACTATTTGATATTGATTTTTAAATAAATAATTATATATTTACTAAAATGTTTAATTGTTTATCACGTGATATACACGTGATTACTTAGTTAATATGCATGTAGAAATTGAATTTTCAAGTTTTCTTTCAGTTTAATTTTCTTTTCATCTATGTTCTTTACATCTCCCATCTTATTGTATTTTTAATCCTATTATTAAAAATCAGATATAGTGATATAGATAAAAAGGAAAAGGAGGAGGTTGAATCGATATACTGCTATTTTTTTATTTACTTGTTATTTTTCTTCCTGCTGTATGGTATCCGTATTTCTTAAAGCTAGAGTTAAAATTTTATTTTTTGAAATAAATAATCATTTAGGGTATGTCAAAATGAACACAGACCCTAATTCGTACTTAGTAAAGGAATAATGTATTCGGTACTAGTAATAGTCGTTCAATTTGCATCGAGACTAGTACCAGTAAATATTTTTTATTTATTAATATGGTTGTGATTTATTGTTATGATCATGTTTGAATATATGCAATATTTCTTTTTCTACGGTCAAGATATTGATAATGGTATACAATATTAAACATGCATATATTTTAATGATGATATGGCAGGTTAGGTTAAATATGGTCGACAACTCGAAAGAGTAAGCTTTTTTTATTCAAAAACAGAAGAGTTGGGTAGAGCTTCTTCATTTAAACCCATTAGAAAAGATCGCCCTTTCCAAACACAATTATCAAGGTATTCAAAATATATATAACTGGTTATTATTTTAGTTTTGAGTCTTACTTACTTAATACACCAGCCCTAATAAGTCTCTTCTCATTAATTACTGATTATCCACAGATCTGTTATTCAAGGTAGTACATTCACTACTGCGAAATAATAACGAGATGCTCTTGAATATAGTTTCTTAATGCAAATCCTTTTTACCATTTTGTAAAAGTAACAAACTAAATCAGAGATTAATAAATTAACTAAAGGAAAATCTGTTTTTATTCTGAAAGCTCTTGTAATTTTTATTTATGTCTTTCTACGACGCTTTTATTCATTCTATAATTTTCACTTCTTCGTTACAAAACTAGTCCAACCAATTAGTTTCGGGAAGTTTTCTTTTTCATAACATGCTACAGCGTTCATACTTCATAAATAAAGCCTTCATTCGTTATATTTTCTTCTGCTTCTTTCTGCGTAACTGTCTTCTTCATTATTAAAACGAGGAGTATTAACTTCTTTTCTGTAAAGAAATTTGTAGAAAAAAGACAGAAAAGGGCTCAAATGTTAACATGTAAATATTATTAGATTGATACATAGTTAGATAATAGTGGGATTCATTTCTAGTCGTCCCACTGTTGGGATGAATTTAATATCAGCCAATTAAATTACTCTCCCACTCATTAGAAATGAAACCCATTCATCCCATTTTTACAAATAAAAAGGAGTTATTGAACTTTATACGTAAGCGAGATTCAAGCTTTTCTCTCAGAAGCTGTTTGGGGCTTCTAGTCATTTCAAGTGATGTAGTAGTGTTAAAAGTAAAGTTTATTATATGTAAACAAGAACTGTTATTGGTCGCATAACTCACAGATTCGTAGAATCAAACAATCGTCAATCCGGACACTCTTAACTCTTTCTCTCACAAATACAAGCCTTTTCTATTCGTTCTCTTTCTTTATCGGGAAACTCAGGTTCTATTTCTTTAGATCAGTGATTTTGTGAACGTTTTTGTTTCATATTATCATGACTCGAACCGCCCAGAGAGATGTAATTATATCTCTAACTATATACCTAGCTCTCTTCATGGACAATGGAGGCAATGCCTAACCTTATTTCTTCAATTGAGAAGACAGTTTTAATTTATGTATGATTAAATCAAAATTTATCGTTGTTTTTTACTTTATATGCTTACTGCTCTTTACTGCAATAATTCTTTTGTTTCCAGATATTTAAATAAATTATTCCATGCATTAATAATGGTTCAGGTACACTACTGGCAAATAATACATAAATAATAAGCACTTATTTTAAATTCTCATCTCAAGAGTTTATACATCAGCATTTCCATCAAACTCATTAACTTGTAATCATACTTTATTGCTCGTTTTTTTTTTTTCACAATATCCATTTTGTTTTGTATTAGTGTGGCTGATATTGTTTCTATGCATGTGTTTTCTAAGCTCAGTAAAATGCAAAAGTTTCATGCGTTCCGTATATCTGATCTACTTCCACTAAATAATGCGTTTCTTTTCATTCAAATTGCTTCTCTCCAAATCCAATTCAAGGTTTATATTTATATAATGTATGTACAGCAAAAAGGTTTAATTTGTTTTTATTCCTTTTATTTAAATCAGTCCAAAGAAAATATACAGTAGATATTTTACTATAAAAAACATTGAAACGAGTTAGTCAGATATAAAAATTGCATAATGAATTAAATAATTTCTTTACCTGCTTCATAGCATCAGCCTTCTTACCTTTACGGTCAAGAATAGCAACACGGCTTTTATCTAACTTGAGGTTGGTGACAACGACCTTGGAGGGAGAGATACCAATAGGAGCAGTAGCACCGTTAACCTTCTCGCGAGAGACACGGTCAATATGGATAACCCACTTCTTACGGTAAACTTGAACAATTTTACCCTCACGACCCTTGTAGGTACCACGGACAACCATAACTTCATCATCCTTACGGACAGGAATAGAGCGACACTGCATATAAATAAAGTTATTAGCCAAACTTTGCTGCTTTAAAAAAAAATCCTCGTTAAATATTTACGTTATGTTTCTCACGGAGTTCCTTAGATAAAGGAGCACTCATGATCTTGCGACGAACATCGGAAGTGGCGGCAAAATGAGCCTTTCTGCTCTTACGGCGAGAAGAACTAACGTCTATAAAGATGAATAATTGTTATTAAAAAAAAAACCCCACAATTTAAATGATATTCAAATTATCATCCATCCATTTTTTAATATATACATTACCAGCACTGAACTTCATGGTTGAATAGGGTGCACGGAAAGAAGGATTGATACAGACATCATACTTCTATTTCCTTCAAAACTCTCGGACTTTCCTTTACATAACAAGTCGATCAAACATACCAATCCCTATAATGAACAGAGTATTCCGGTCCGGATAACTTTACACATTCTTTAATTCAGTTTCAATTCTCCTAAACGCGTTGATCGCGTCTTTTTTTCTTCCTTTCTTTTTCATTAGAGATAATCATAATAATATCACAATGTCTCTTGTTAATATCTTAAATATTCAAGTATTGGATAACCCAACTTCTTTTAACAACCCTTTCCAATTTGAAATTACTTTTGAGTGTAACGCACCTCTTAAAGATGGTAAAAAATTATTTGGAAAATAAGAAACAACCTGACAGAGATACACTAACAAAGCAACTTGTAGATCTCGAGTGGAGAATGATTTATGTTGGTGCTGCTGAAAGCTCTGAACATGACCAAGTACTTGACTCTATTATGGTCGGTCCTATCCCCGTTGGTACTAACAAGTTTATTTTCTCTGTAAGTTTTATTTTCATTATAAAACTATATACGACTTTAACTCATCGTTATATACATATAGGCTGATGCTCCCAAGATTGAGTTATTGCCAAAAAAAGACTTGTTAGAAGTAACTGTAGTTTTGTTAAGCTGTCTTTACAATGATAAAGAATTTGTTCGTGTTGGATATTACGTTAACAACGAGTACACTGATGAAGTTTTACGCGAGAATCCCCCTGAACAAATTATTATCGATCGGTTGCAAAGAAATATTTTAGCTGATAAGCCTAAAGTTACCAGGTAAGTTGATATTAGCTTTCGAATACTATAAGAAAAACATTACTAATATATTTTCTTTTTTTTTAGATATACAATTGATTGGACAAACCCTGAAAATACTATCCCTCAACAAGCTGAACAAAATGTTGATCAGGTATGTCAAAAATTTACATACATTAAACAATAAATTAACCTAATTTCATTTTAGGATATGATGGTTTAAATAAAAACACGACTTCTTTTTTTTTTTTACCATTTATATCAAATATATCACACTATTATGTACAATAAACTATCAAAACATATATATATAAAAAAAACTCATCATTTTATTGTTATAATTGTCGTAGAAACCGAAGGGGATTGTTTTTTAGTCTACAGGACATTGAAGTGGGCTTCTAGTACTAGCTTTTTCGCAAACATCACTAATAAAATTAAAGCGACGAAGATATCTTGTAGTATTTTGAATAGCTGCTATATTAAATCCATCACTTTCTTCCTCTTCCTCACTATCAGAAATATCTTCACAAGAAAAGCCTCCGGTTGATTGTTGTGCCTTTCTTCTACTATCATTAAATTTAGCATTGTCAAGCTTCTCTTCAAGTTCTGAAATTTCATTTGATCTACTAATAATATCTCTTTGGACATCACGTACAGCGCGATGAAGTGAATATAAAGTGAGTTGACTATTTGTAATAACGAGTTAGGAAAGTATTAATTTCACAATATTACTATTTTACCTACCCAGAAAGATGATCACTTTTGATTTTATTACGCTTCTTATATTCTTGAATCTTAAATTCCAAACTACTTAACATAGATTCTTGTATTTCTGATTTCTTCATAATCGTATTCAACATTTGTTTTGTTTCTGTATCCAATTCTCTTTTATCAATCAAATCAATCACATCTGTACCAACTTCCTTTTGTAAAAGATATCGAATGTCTTCTTTTTTATCCATATCTAAGAAACAAATAAATTAAATACAAATACATATAACCTTTTTTTACATAAACTTACATTTTTTACAAATTTCAGAAAGTGTCTCAAGTGTATCCATAACATCAATCCCATTATCTTGATAATCTTGGGTACGCTCTGTGAGTTTTTCTGTTATTACTCCGTATTCGACAGCATCACATAAATTCCACACAGCACTCTTATCACTCAAATCGGCTTCTGTTTTAGGTTTGCTTGACGCCAAGTTCTTTGAAATAGCCTTATC